TGTCATCATTCTTTTTGAATGATTTTTTTATCATTCAAGTTAAACAATTTGTCATTATTCTTCTTAAATGATTTTTTTTATCATTCAAGTCAAATGATTCATTATTATTCTTTTTAAACGATTTTTTTTATCATTCAAGTTGAATGATTCATCATCATTCTTCTTGAATGATTTTTTTTATTGTTTAAGTCAAACGATTTAGATCATCATTCTTGAATAATTTTTTTATCATTCAAGTTGAACAATTCGTCATCATTCTTCTTGAACGATTTTTTTATCGTTCAAGTCAAATAATTCAGGTTATCATTTTTCTTAAATGATTTTTTTTATCATTTAAGTCAAACGATTCATCATCATTCTTCTTAAACAATTTTTTTTATCATTCAAGTCAAAATGATTTGTCATCATTCTTCTTGAACGATTTGATTTTTTTTATTATTCAAGTCAAATGATTTCTTATTATTCTTTTTAAATAATTATTTTTCTATAAGATTGGAGTTCTAAAATTGCAGTTTCAGAATCTGGTCTTAGAATCCAGTCCTAAAACCCAAGTTCTATAGACTGGGAATTTCAGAACTAGACTAAAACTGAACTGGATTTTAATATCTCTAAAAATAATACTATTTCAAATCAACTCAAGTCAACTTGAATCAAATTGAGTTTAAATTGAATTGAGTTAAATATTTAACTCGACTTGAATTTGGCCTAACTTACAAATCATTGAGTCAAAAAAATATAAACTCAACTTGATTTAAACTCGACTCAGCTTATTTAACTTGTGAGTTAATTCGACTTGTCCAGAACTCTACTCAAGTGATATGATAATTCATAATATCCTAGATAAGAAAAATACTAAATGAGGAATACAAACTTTATATTCAAGAACTTAGAGGTTCTCTTTAACTGTATAAGATACAATATCAAGATCAGAATACTTTTTTAATATTTTTATTATTCTTTACTTAAAACACACTTTTGTAATTTTGCAATTTGACTAAAATAATGATGTTTATTAAGAGTAAGATATCTTAAACATTCTGGATGACTTCTTTGTTTAAGGATATTTATTTTTTGAGCTATTTTAAACTACTTGTATAGGATTTTTAATGAATACCCAGTTTTTTATAAAGGTTTATAATTTTATGAACTTCACTATTCCATAAAGTTTTAAAACAGTGATAACATTCTTTTAGTACAATTATTATATAATGTATGTGACAGCTAAGCTATAGATTTTTATTAAAATAAGATATAAAAAACTTATTTACATCATAATTTTATTTTTTGTTTAGGAAAAAATATGATCAGATCTAAAATTTAAAAAAAATTATCATTATTTCCATTATTACTGTATTTATAAGATTATAAATAATTAATTTAAAAAAAATTTTTAAAGAATATCTAAATAAATTATATTATATAATATTTATAATACATTTTCAAGAAAATAGATTTGTTTATCAGGATAATTTAGAGGATTTTTATTTAGAATGCAATGAATATAGATATATAGTCAACCCTTATTATAATGAACTTTATGTTCTAGATCTCAACTTTATTATAAGGCTATAGTGAAGATTTTAAGAGATTTGATTGGCCAATTCACTATAACAAGAGTATTTTTATTATATTTATTTAAAAATTTATTATATCAAGAGTTCGTTATATTATGAGTTGACTGTAAAGTTTTTGCATCTATTAATATTATTATAACTACAGTATTAGAAATAAAATTTTAAAGATATATATTTAAAATTTATTATAAAAGTATTTTAATAGAAAGAAAATAAAACTACTGAAAAAAATTTTTACTTTATAAGCTAAATATTATTTTTTTTAATAAAATAAATTCAAATTTACATTAACTCAAAATTTTTTTTGGTAGTTTTCTTTTTTACTATAAATTACTTATGTAATCAATATTAAAATATATTTAATATTTTTTTATTATATAGAAAAAATTAATTTGAAAGTTATGAAAGTTACATATTCTAAAAAAAATATATAAAATGAGAATATAGTCAAATTTCTTTAAATACATCCCTTCAGACTAAGAATAAGAATATATTTAGAAAGGATATAAAATATATATTTTAACAAATTTTTTATAATATAATAATTATGATTTTATTTATTTTTATGTATCAGAGATTTTACATTAATATAATAAATAAATTTAATAGATCTCACCTAATAGAATTTTAATTTTTAAGTTATTTCTTTTATTATTAGTTATTGATTTGATTTAAAAAAAAATAAATATTAAAATATTTATAGGATTTATCTTTAAATAATTTAAAGTTTTGAAGAATCCAGTAACTATAAAAGATAAGTAATCAGTTATTTGATTTTAAAAAAAAAATAAATACCGTATTCCTCTGAAAATAAGCAATCTTTTTTATTATAAGGTTGCTTATTTTCAGATATTTTATAATATTTAATATATATTGCTTATAAAATTCATTGTAGAAAAATTCCAAATTCGATCCCGTGACTGTTGGTCATCTGTTTGTCACGTTTGATCAGCTATTGTCATGTAAAAATGTGAACAGAACTGCATTAAATACTCCATTCCAATTCATTTGTACGCTTGTAAAAAGAAAAAAATGCCGCTACCTAAAAGAAAAAGGATTGTTAAGTGCACTTCATATTTTATTAAACAAAAAATACAGGTAGTTACCTACGCGAAAGAACATGGACAAATTAAGGTTGCAGAACACTTAATGCTTGTATACGATTCTTTTAGAGACCATTTAGAAGAATTGGTTAAAAGAAAAATTTTATGAGTGTGGCTTTGATCTCACGGTAATCTCAGGTGGGTTGACTAATATTTGCTAACCACTTAACGTTGCGATAAACAAACCATTTAAAAATCACCTCCATATGGAATGGCATGCTTGGGTGGCTCGTGGCAGTGCAGGAGAAACAGCTGCGGGAAACCTTCGTCGTGCTAAGTTTAATGGTGTGTTTATGGGTTAAAAATTCCTGGGAAAGAATTTCTGACAAAATCATCATAGGATCCTTTAAGACATGTGAACTATCGAATGAACCAGATTCTGATTTAATAAAGACGATATTGATACCAATGACGATGATGGAGATAGTGATGATGATGATGCGAGTAATATTGATAATGACAATGATAGTGCTAGCGATTGTGTTTAATATGAATCTATTATAAATATATTTTCAAATAACAATTATAAGTTATATTGATTTAAAGCATCTTGTTGCTTATTTTCAGATATAATACTATTTCGGGGTTGCTTATTTTCGGAGGAATACGGTAATTTTGATGAATTAAATGAAGATGGAGCAATAATTATAGTAGATTATAAAATGAGAAAATTACCACAAAATACAAGAGAAATAAAATCTCAAAAAAAAGGTTAAACATTACATTCTACATTAGTATATACTAAAAGATGTAAATAATAAACTCAATATACAAGGTTTTGATCATTAAGATCTATTTATGTCGTACAAGTAATAAAATGAATTTTTTTTTATTTTAAAAAAAATCATATTTAATGAACAGCGCATACAACGCATACAACGCATACAACGCATACAACGTAAATTTTTAGTTTGCTACAACCACGTATACAGAATATTTTTTTGTCAAGCTTAAATAATGAACGGAATTAAAGCAAAAGCGGCCAAGGTTTTTTCTTTGAACCAATAACTAAAGAAAAGTTGAAAGTCGACAGTTTGTACAAGTGGTACAAGTGACAAAGAAAGTAGGTTAATTTCATAATTAAAATTGTGATTAATACCACATATATTATTCTGTTAATATACTTTGTTTTGCCAGGACAAGATTTTATCAGAGTACGAATGGTAATTCTTATGGTATGAGTACTATGATTTTTTAAGGTAAAGGATTGCGGTTTGATTTATTGTGCCAATTGATATATATTAATAAATATTTTATGTCATTTATTATTAGTATGCTAATTGTTGGATTTCAGTGATTTAAGGTCGTCTTAGCAAAACGAGTTGAATGTAGGCATCAAAGATGTAATACAAGGTCTGAACAAATCATGATTCATAAAGTACTGAAGTCAGACAACAAATTACTTTGGATAGAATATTGCAAGAAAAATTTTTAAAAAAATTTTCTGATGGTTTACTTGCTAAACAAAATGTAAATTAGTTTTGTCGGCCATTATACCGAAACCAATTGGTGGTATATAAATTTTGCTGTGGAAGGTTTTTATATTAAATAAATATATATGCATGTTCTTTTATTTGTTGCTTTTTTACTACGATGTCAAATACTTTTTTGTGTTTTAATCCTGTCTTATTAAATAAGGAAAGATGGTGAAAGTAGGATATTCAGATCATGTAGATTAATTACACCTTTGTTTCATTTATATAATGCACCCGTATATGGAACTAGGAGTTTAATAAATAAACAAATCGGCAAGGCTAGAATAAAGATCATATCAACTTATTTCTTTATAGAATTAAAATATCTAAAGAGTAAATCTTGACACATCATGAGATTCAATCATCGCGTCCATTGTAACAGCGCAAATTCTCCTTGTAGCGTTTACAATGATCTATTGATTTTTATGAAAGCGATTTTGAGATTAGATGAAGAGGTAATGTCAAAAAGAGCATCAGCAAAAAAAATTTACTTTTGACGCGTACGCAAGGATTGCAAGGATTTCATTTTTAAAACTGAATTTTTTTAATGTTCTGCGCCAACGGGTATACCGGAAATGTTAGCACGTGACTTTATCGTGCGATCTTTTCATTCTCGTATTTAGAAAGAAACCGAGTGAATTATAATGACATTAAATGCTACTAGATGGGAATAATTAATATTTGTATACTACATTCTAACGATTAAATCAATTATTAAAAATCCTGCCAAAACTTGGAAAAAAAAATTTACAACTTTGCTCTGACAATTAAATTGTTCATCTGCAAAATAATAAAGAATAATACACGGAGAAAGATAAAATTAAAGTAAAGTTCGTTCCCAAGTTCGTTCAGACTAAGAAATGTATATTATGTAATTATATTATCTTAATTAATCAAATTATGGATTCTCAAAAATCTAGAGCTCCCCGTTTCTTGATCAAGGGGGTTGGGATTATTATTACTGGGTGAGTGATGTTCGATTCCTGTCGGTTGTAGGTAAAAGGAATCTTGGGTATGTAATGATGAAATTTCTTGTAATTCTGTCGGCCACAGTACCATTTGAGGTGTTGAAGCGGAATGCCTCCAGGGTTCCTTTTCCTTTTCAGAAGATGACGCATCTTCGTTATTTAGTTGATTAGTATTACCTTTAACGCCGGAGAGTTCATCATGAATTAAAAAGCTAATTCTAGAGAGAACCGTAAAAAAATTCCTTTTCTCCGTTGACTCATTTTTCCATTTCTCTGATATTATCTTGGATATGTCCCCTAAACTAGCGTTTGGATTTTGTCGTTGTATCTCTACTTTAAGATCTTTACGATATAGGATGAAACTATTTTGAGAACGGGAGATTTTCGCTTTGTTCCTATTCCTGGGCACCAACAAATGTTCTAAGGGAACATTTGTCGGGAACCGCATGCCCTCTTGTGACATAGAATCCAAGTGTATGTTTATTAATTCTCTTATCTTTTTTGAATCAATATAATTTCCGTTTTCCATATTTTTTTTTTTTCTTTTTTTTTAAAAAAAAAAACAATGATTAAGTCAAAAAGGTTTTAAAAAATTTTATTATTATATTATTATTACTATTTAAAAAAAAATTTTTTTTATTTATCTATATCTTGTTTATTTTTTATTTTTTATTTTTTTTTCAAGAAAAACGGATGTCAAGTCAAAATAGATAAAATAATAATAATAAATAATTATAATTATAATTATAATTATAATAATAATAATAATAATGGGAATTTTTTTTTCTTTTGAATTAGAATGAGAAAGAAAAAATAACCAAAACGTACTTCATTTTTATACATGTAACTTCATTTTTTGATTAAAGTAGTTCGAATATAAAAATATTAGTGTATATTATATTCTATTATATTATATATAGATGATACAATAAAATAATACAGATGACCCCATTCAGCACGAAAAAGGAGAACAGCAATGTTTATGAAATGGTTTCCCTTCTATCCTTATTTGGAACTAGGTAAGAAACTTATGAGTAATTAATTATAAAGTTAGTTCCGAATTCCGAATCTCGATTGTCAACCCGTTTGAGGATATATTCATATCGATGTGTTGAAGATCAATTCGAATCACACAAATCAAACAATGTCCTTTGTATGTGAAGCAATTTATTTGTAACACGATGAAAAAAAAAAAAAGTTTCATATTTGGGTAATTTTTTTTTTTTTTATTGTACTGTACATTAGGAATTATTTTGGATGATAAAGTAAAGTAAATAAAAAATGTCCGAGAGTGTGGAATCAATTTTAAAATAACCATATAAGGATTCAATGTTAAAGAAAATTCATGCAATGGGTGAGAAGAAGAATGGAATGTCTTGAGGATAACCATATAAGGATTCAATGTTTAGAAAATCGATGTACGAACGACTTATTTTTCTCGTGCGACGGTCCTGGGGGGGGGGGGATCGATGGGTAAAACACTTTACAAAGTTCACAAAGGGTTCAACACCAAATATTATGGATGTAACATTCTTAAACCCATGGAAGTTTACAAAAAATTTTATTTATTTATTTTATTTATTTATTTATTTTATTTTATGTATTTTATGTTTTATTTCATTTTATTTTATATTTATGTGAAACGAATTTTTAATAAAGGTTTTAAAAAATAATAAATCATCAAATTCCTTTTTTAAAATAAAAGCTCATCATCAATAATGACATTTCTATTACTGAAAATACTCTCCGTTATTGTACATACCTAATTTTAGTAATGATCATAAATTTAACAATGACATACGATTAATGTCGGACTTATTCGGTTGTCCAAGTATATATATTTTTTTTATTTGTGAACATTAAAAAAAAATTCATTCTCATAATGATATTTGGAAAAGACATTACTTGATCATCCTTTTTATTATATTAATATTATTATTATGATTCCTTTTAAGGAGTGGTAAAACATTTATTTTTTTTTTTCGAAACGATAATGGTCATTTTGTTTTACAAAGGTGTAAACAATTTGACAAAAATCTTTTTTTAGGCCTAAATAAGTGGCTAAATCGAACGCAGTTAACTTCATTGTGATTTTTCTTTTTTAAACCACCAATGAACCACAATGGTGAGACATGATCCGATTTGAATTCTATATTTTTAGTCAAAAAATCATACAATTAAAATTTGGGAACACATCAATGAATAAAATACATTTTACATGATCAAATTTTAATTTTATTGAACTTATCAAAAATGGAAGTTTTGATTATTTACATATTAAAAAGTTTTTTTTTTAAAAAAAAAAAAAAAATAAGGTAATCAAATCTCTGATTTCGGTCGCATCATTATTTGATCTTATAATAGCATGTTACCAATGAAAGTTTTTTTTTTAAATAAAGGGTAAGCATTGACGAAAGTAAAACAAATCTTGACTGCAGCACGAAACGCAAACGGCTATTCATATACTTCAAGGATGATAATATCTCCTGCAATTGACTCCTAAAAAAAATTCATTTTCTCTCCCTTTTTGTATACTAAAATAAAAATCAATTTAAAAAATCATAACAAACTTTATTGATCGTTACTTGTGTCATATCTAAAAGAACGAATGAGATCAAATGATTTCCAAACTGGTAAACATTGGGGGTGATATTCTTTGTTTGTGGTTTATTTTTTTTTTGATAATAATATTGTTCATATTGTTCTATTTTATAAAAAAAAGAAACGGTCTCAAAGAACTCATGTGATATTTAGGTCACAAATCCATTTCAAGAACTTCATTTTCATAATCTTTTTTTCTTAACGAAGAAAGAAGCTTTTTGCTATATTCAAGATAGGTCTGATGAAACCGGTTACGCAACATTTCGTGCGGCACTGCGGGGTCTTACAGTTAATTTCAAAATAGTAATGTGAAACGATGAATTTATTGACCTCCTCGACACTACATTTTGCAAATACCACACCAGTGTCCGCGTAACAAGAAAAGTTTATTTGGGGAATGTATGTATTTTTTAAAATATGCAAGAAAATGTAATGATTATATTTATTTCGTAATTTATTTATTCTTTATTTTGCTATGACAATACCACATGAAGGTAAAAATTCTGGAAATAGATCAAATTTGATGATATTTTTTTTTTTTTTTTTTTTTTTTTTGAATTCTAAAATGATATTGACTCGCCATTTTCATTTTTATGATTCTATCTATAAACAATTCCTTTACTTTTGGTATAAATAAAAAAAAAAAAATTTCAAACTTTAATTTGCCAAATAGTACGTTTTCTAAGACGTTCAAGGTAAAACCTTCATGGAGTAGTTACACTACATGAATAGCATGCTGATTTGTTAACATACTCTCGGTCTCTTTTCTTGTTCCAAATATCTTTCTCTCGTGGTAAGGCGCTTTAAGACTTGAAATCAATCTTTTTCATACCTGCTTGCAGATGAGTCACATCTAAAAATTTGATCTTTTATGGAGAAAAGAAATCGATGAAAGCTCATACCGCAAAGGATATGATATAAACGTACTTTCAATCTAATAAATAACGCATGTTAAGGACACGAATGTCTTCATCAGAAAATCCGATCTCATACCACTAACCGATTGCAGTATTTTTGTCTTAATTCGGTGTAAAACGCGTAAGGTTAACCATTTCTAAGAATAATTTTATTAGATCAATATCTTGATAATCAAATATTCTTATTCTATACATTATGATGTCGAACTGTGAGTGTGAGCTAGAAGCAATTTTTTTTTTTTTTTTTTTTTGATTCTCCAGTCTTGTCGGTTTTGTTTGTCAGTTTCATCAATTTCGCCAATTTCGCCAGTTTCATGGTTTCACCGGTTTCGTCGGTTTCGTCAATTTTTCAATTTCTTCAGTTTCGCCAACCACAGAAAAAATAACCTGCAGTGCTACTCTACTTTGATGTTTGCTATTCAACAGTATACTCTTTTTTTCTCTTTCTTTTATGTCTTTATAAACAAGTTCAACGACCAGATGCTCAATTACACTAAAATGCCTCGTTAACATTCTTCTTTCTATTAGAACAAACCCATCGTGCAATTTGAATCTGCCATATATAAAAGAACATTAAGTTACAGTAAAAAAATAAAAATATATTCGGATTTCCTGTCGAATTGTATATTTCATGCAATCTTCAATTAATCAGCAAGGATTGCTACACAGCGATGGAATTAAAAAGGAAATATGTCGTGTCATTGAGATTTGTAGCCGTGATTTTTAATAAGATATGGTGATAATGCAGATGCTCGCAATGATTATTTTTTAATTCATGTTCCCTTTAGAGAAAAATGGTGATGGTGTACCCAGTTCAGCAAATAGAAGTCAATCATCATTTTTTTTTTTTAATTTTTTTTTTTTTTTTTTTGAAATAAATTCAATTTTGGATCATATTGAAGATTTGTCAAAGTTCTTTCTTAATTCGCAAATCCAAAAGTGGTGTCTATAGTGAAATAAAATTTCTATTCACGCACAATTTGACAACTCTCCAGTGTATGAGGAGACACCATTTACTTTTTAATGAGTATGTTTATTTGTCTCGGTTTCATCGACTCAAATGATGTAAAGAAGACGTTCGAAAATTTGGTAAATTTCATGATTCAACAAAGAGTTTAAGTTTAGTTCATATTGGGGCAGCAAATTATGATGGAATGGTTACTTCTTTTGTGTAACGAAATGAGAGAGATCACAAATCCCGTGATTATGTTTACCGAAAACAAGTTTTGGGGGGAAGATTAAAAACATTCATCGATCGACAACGAAAAATAAATTACTATTTTAGAGATTTTCAAAAAAAAATACTACTTACTGAATCAGATGAGACCTAATTGCAAAGATACAAGATTTTGATGGATTACAAAACTTTTAAAAGTTCTCCGTATAATATGACAGATTATTGCTTTTAATGAAGTATATTTTATTTATTATAATTCTATGATACGAATAATACAATTTGGTTTATTTACAGTACAAGAAAATTGACCGGTTCAATTAAGGTCGCAACAAATTCAAATTCAAAAAAAATTATACATAATGGTGACATTAGAAGGATCGATAAAGTAACAATTTATGAGACCTTTACAATGAAACGGCCAGAAAAAATAAAAAAATTGAAAAAAATCATAATTTGCATATAAAAGTAAAATTGATTTTTCCCCCTTTTTCTATTGCAAATAATAACGGTTTCCAACAAATAAGGCGTAATTCTCAATAGAATTATCGAATTAGGTCCATTAGAAAATATATTTCTATCCTTAAATGAATCTTGATGGTTTGACATTTTTTATTTTCCAATCATGTCATCGCAACCAAATTTTCTTATTTTAATCCAAAAATATCAAAAGAAAAATTACATAAGCATATAAGTAGCAGTCACATGACTTAAAGCGAGAAAAAAAAACAACAAAGATCTTTTTTTGATAGTCCATTCTAATAAATACAAAAAAAAATCTCATTTGATTCTTAATCAATTCGTAATAAATAAGTTCATCCCATCCTCATAAAATTTATATAACATAATCCAATATGATGATATACTCATTTAAATAATTCTTTCTCTTCTCTATTGTTGCTAATTTTCTTGAGTTTTGTTTCTTATTATCTGTTTCCTCTTCTTGAATTTCTTCAACTCATAGCTAAAAAAAACAAAACAAGCAGTGATTACATAAACTCTGTAGTCTACAGGAAACACACGAAATAAATAGCTTCATTTATCCTCAATTAAGACAATGATTTGACAATTTACAAAGCAGAATACTTACAATTACGTTAAATAAATGCCGATTAAGATGTACTATTGTAAATTGTGTGAGACTTTTATGCATCTTTTCAAAATTGATCGAAATTCCTTTCAACAAACCATTTATCAATATCATTAAATCTGCTAAAATTTAATTAATTAGTCTAGAGTAAATGAAGGATTATATACTTCTCGACAAGGTGATATAAAAATGTTCTGTTATCCGTCTGTTCACAGATCGAGTCAATGCAGATTGGTAGATTCAATTATACATATTTTACAAATGCTATATGAGGTATTTTGTATTCTAAATTTCTAAAAAAATCCTGCATTCACACGTAATCTTAACAATAAAAAATGAATAAATAAAAAAATAAAATAAAATAATTTTTTTCTTGATTTTTCTTTATTGTATTATATGTAAATAAATGTATTTCCTTTATGCAAACAATAATAAAGATAATGGTTTAATTCAAAAATAAAAAAAATTATTTCATTTTGTTGTTTGTTGTTTTTCGTATTTGTGTTAAATAAAATTTCAAGTAATTTATCCTGTAGAACTTGTCAAAAGAGAAGATACGCTTTCTCTTTTCATTCTTGAAGTCTTCTAGAATTTTTTATATGCTAAAGACGTTTGAAGGTAACTGCTTTAAGTATATATTATTAAATGACTGAACTTGTGAAATCATAATAAACAAGAGACCTGTTGCAAACTCTTTACTTTCCAAATCTATTTTTAACTTTTTTTACCTTGACTCTTATAGACCATGATAGTCTAAGCTAAACATAAAGAAACCTGAAGCCTAAAACACAGCACTCTGAATTTCCTTTCCTAAGTTTATTTGATTAATACTATTGAAATAACTTTATCTCCTTGTAATATGATTACACTAAGTTCTTTGTATTTATTGAATTTGATGAAAACTGCTACAGGTAATGAAGGTTATCTGTGATCTCTATATAGAATATCATGTATTATTTTTATTACATCATTAACTAACCCTCTTTTGATCTATATATTTGCTATTTTATTTAATTATCAATGATTATGTTACTATAATAATGATTATTTACTTTTAATCATATTAGCACTTTAGTAACTTTACTGCAATGCACATTAAAATCTCTAAAAACTGTTAGATCATTCGCTGATTGCCTCTGCACTATAAGAATATCCAATATCAATAGTTTTCTAGATAATCATTTTGTAAATTCATGAATATCTTATGAGAAATTTATTACATTTCGCTTATAACCATTTTGTCTTCCTTGAGTCGATACACTATTATCACTATAAACACCTGCGCAATTAGCATTTTTTTAAACTCAGTGAGTCTCTTAAACTCTTTGAATACTTCTCTGGGATTCATATTATTATCAGCTGAGAACTTCTTTTGGTGTGCTCTTTTCTGTGTAATAATAGTGACAAATTTTCTTAACAATATTTATATCAGATATCTTTTTATTATATACTAAATAAGTATTATACTGAATCTTGTCTATTTTTTTACGAAATTTTATCAATGATACTTATTCTTTACGCTAATTCTTGTGGCTAAATTTATTCTATTAGGTACGTTAAGATTATTATTACCTATTTGTATTTCTTGTTTCTTTCTATATAATAATTTCATCCCTAATTTTTTCTGTTTCTTCTATTTGAATCGCTTCTCTATCATTTATTTGCTAATATTCAACACTTTCTTGTCAATGTTGTTTCTTACATTCTCATAAATCCTGTTTTCATTCTTTTTTATAAAATAATCTCCTTTCACATTTATTAGCAGTTTCGCAATCAATTTTTTCTTTTTGTCTCTTTCATATGCTTAAAAGATGCTTCTCTCATTTTTCTTCACTTTTTTTAACACATTTTTAACTTTTACAATCATAATCATATTCAAGTCAAATTTCATGTTTTTCTATAATTTCTTAGAGCCTACTTTTCTGCTTTCTAAGTACTTTATTATTAATATTTAAATTGAATATTAAGTACTAAAATTTTATTCTGATTTAATGATATATATATAATTCTAAATATAAAATTTTATTTCTTTAAATTTATTCGTTTGATAAAAATTTTATTTATTGAATTTATTAAATAATGAGATCTTTTTTTACATGTATTTTTTTTACATTTTATATCATAAAGAACAATAGAACAATTGAAATGAGAAAAATCAGATTGTTGATATTATAATTGATAAACTACATTAATATATTTAAATAATTGTAGTTAAATAAATTTGATTTCTTGATTATATTGACTTTAAAAATAATACTGAATTTAATCTACATTTTTATTATTACATTGACTTAATATTATCACATGTTTGATCCTATTATTAATCTATTATTTTAATTATCAATTTTCCTTAAAATAGACTATTTTATGATAAATTTGTCCTTAATTATTACATTGACTTTATACTTATCATATGTATCATTTCTATTATTATTCATTCTAGACTTACTAATGGTACCTATTTTCTAGTTATAATTACTATATTGAACCTTTTTAAACATTTGTAATAGGCTACAAAGTTTCTTACACCTGGAATATTACAAGAGCATCATATTATTGCAACCTAAATACGTTTATTAGAACTTCTGATAATCTTATAGCTCAATTAATTGGTCGATTAATAGAGCTAAATAATGATTTAGCTAGTAAAAACTTAGTTCGTTAGATCAGAATCAAAGACATTGTCAAATATTTGAACATTCTATTTCTTCAAAGATTACAAATTATACCGTATATGATTCTAATACTATAATTAGTATTATCAACTGCTGGAATCAAAACATGATATAAATATGAGAATCTGCTATTTCTTTTTGAAAAAAATGGTATATTTTGATCATTCTAAAAAGTTTTTCAAACTATGCTATCTTTAAATATTGTAAATTATTAATCGATCTTCCTTTTTCTTATATGATTCTTCAAATTCTTTTCAATTATACATTAGTCATAGTTGTTTCAAACTGACAGTTAGAAATATTAAGAGGACAATGAATTATTATTCCATCTTTTATAAAAATTTGTTTGGTCAATCTAGCTTTACATTTTACCTTTGATTTTTAATCGGGTTTTCTATGAAATCTATGTAAGTATAGTATTCAAATTTGTTAGTTGATACTTTTTTTACATTATATAAATTACAACATTTTTCACATGTTGCATATTTAATAATATGAACACAAATATTAAGTTTTTTACATGCTATATAAAAAGAGTTCTATACATTTTATCTATAAGAATCAAAACATATTTAATAAATTTGACTAAAGAATCAAATTTTTTTCGCGAAGTATTAATCTGTTATTTTTAGCATGTAAAACAATAAAACAAGTCATTTATAATAATATCTAATCAAATCAAAAAATAACACTTTTGTTAAAAAATGCATATGATAATTATAGAAATAAAACGGGCGATCAGTTTGCTTATGCGTTTAAAACTCAGATGAAATGGAGAATTATTTGGTTATATTAAATGCATATTTTTAACTTCTCGGACAACATGCCTTTTATGGCTTTAACCGCAAGAAATAAATATCTACTGTTTATAGGTCTCATTGCCGTGTGGTTCTTTTTTTGTGAAAATTGCCAATGAATCAAACTCTCGTGATACCAAGATCATCACTAGTAAATCGACAGGACATAATGATATCACAAAATAAATTCTCGTGATGCAACCTATATAACAAACAGAATATTATTTCCACGATTTTGACTGGCAAGGATCAGTGGAATTGAAAGAATTCTAGAAACATACCGTAATAATTCAAGTAGAATTGGATCTGAAATTGAAACGATCAACAGAGCCATCTCGATACTCTAAATTAAAATCAGCCCAACGTTATTCGCTTTTCCAAAACATGAATCGAAGAGGATCTGATCAACCAAGCAAAGCTTCATCATTCTCTGCTTGATCATCAAATTTATTAGGTAAAGATAGTGCCGAGATACATTAAAATATAACAAAAAAAAAATTTAATCAATAAATCCCGGTAGATGGGTAGATGATATGAAGGAACTGCCATTACTTTATAATGTAAAGGGCCTAGGATCCCTTTGCTCCTATTCTACGATTCTATCATTACAGACCGGCCTTTACATTGTAGTTTGTAATGTATATGTGATTAAAAAAAAGGTCAAGCTACAGATGTGATGATGATGGATCGGGAAGTATTTTTCTGCTTCACATGATCGTCCTTTTACAAACTTGTGATGATTAATTCAAAGATATGGAAATCTTGGAAAATCGACAGATTCTGTGCCGAAAAAAATTTTTCTTATGATTTGTAGCATCTTTTGTGGATCTACTTCATCATCCATTGTAAATTAGATAATTTCTACGAAATGACCTGTTCCGCAGAGAATCAAAGATTCGATGCTCCGTGGAGGCTTACTTAACGTATGGAGAAAGTTCGATAAAAATGCTATCCTACGGCTGTAATGATGTGAAGATAATTTGATAGATCGACTCAAGAATTTATTTTTCGTTTCTGCTTCACATATTTCTTATAAAATTCGTGATGATGATCAGAGTCGAAAGGCAAGTTCGATTGGCATTTACAGTATGTAAGAACTTAAAAAGGAATATAACTAACTCACTTACGGAAATCTGCTCTGTACAATCGAATTAATCATAGGAATTACGTAATATGATCGAATCATGGAATCTGGTCAATTGAAAATCCCAAGCACCGTTCATGTGCAGGTTCCAGACTCGAATTACTTTCAGATAGTAGCTTCCGATCATTACGATCCGTCTGATATTTTAGCTAAAATATAAAATCCGATTATCAGATTAACAAACACATTTATTTTGCAGCACGTGAAAAATTTAAATGTGTGAAATTTTTTCTTTGAAAAAAATAAAAATATTTTTTTTTCAAGCTACTTGCTGGAAAATTCGAGAATAAACATACTAATCAGCCCAATTTTTTTCTTACTCAGTATGTCGGATTGATTGGATAAAAATAAATCACCAACAAAATCCACTTTACTTTTATATATTTTGCGGTAAATATTTATTGAAAAATCATTCAATAAGATTAACACGAATTGACACAAGGGTTGATCGATCTTTATTTATTTTGACTGCATTATCATAACTTTTTATCAATAAAAGAAAGAGTTTAAGAGATTCAAATAGTTACAACATTACTATGATTTCATTATATCAAAGAATTTGTTGTGATATCGGAAAAAAAAAAAAAAATAAAAGATGAATTTTATGAAAACCTAAGTTCATGTGTACCTAACATAGCACGTATGACATAATAAAAATCTACGGTAAGAGAATCGGGTATTGATGTAGGTGTTTGAAAAGTTGGTGGCATTCCATGAAAGAGACATTCTCTTTTAAGGTCAATAGTATGTTGTTGAGGCTGAATAAGAATTTGATCTTTATCATCAATGGTATTAAATTCAAATTCAAATTCCTTTAAATATAAGTATATTAAAACCATTTTCTATAAATCCACTTTATATTTATTAAGTAATAATATATCATACCGAAACAGGTATTAATTCCCCACTCTGTGTCCTTTCATCTGTGCAAAAATGCCATACCTGTCAAAAAATAAAAATCGTAAAAAATGATGGTAAAGAAACTAATCCAAAAAAATTATATCTTTAATTATTACTTACTTTCAATTTTGAAATAATTGTATCAGATCGTACTAATTTTACTGCAATTGCATCATGAGCTCTACCTGGATAGAGCCAATAATCTTTTACTGCGTTTAATAAATGTGCTTCAGATTCCAAGGAAGCGACTTCGATTACAAGATTGGGCCACGGTAAAAGCTAAAAATATAATCAACGATATTAGAAATTTGATTAATTATGATAATAGAAAATATTTAAAGCTCCACATACAGAATTAGTGCCTTCACGTCCATTTGAATTTACTTCAGGTTTGTCAAATGGTAAAAAAGATCCGTCTGGTTCTTTTCCTTTATTACCGGCTTTTGTACCTTTTATTCAATAATAGAAAGCATGTTCGAGTTATCTAAAAGCATTAATAATAATAATAAAAAAAGTTAAACACTTACATGTGGATCCTGAACTAATGAGCATATCTTGTGGATCTTTCTTAACAATCAATCTCTCAATTGCACCCTTACAAACCTCATGAGGCCCTAAAGGCAATTCATACACATAAACATTTCCATTTATCCACTCCCATCTTCCATGCACATTATACATATCAGTTCGCTCTGAATATTTTTCCCAATCAACATCACTTTTCAGTAAATAGGGTAACCTTATCCAAGAAGAGACAACAGATGTTAATCACATGAAAACGACGAAGGCAGTGAGGTAAAAAATACTTACGAAGCTTCTTCCCAATTTGCACTTGGGTGTATATTTCCATCGGTCCACCACAAATTTCGAAACTTTGTCAATACGTCATTGGATTTAGGAGGTTGGAAGGTAGCATCGCTATTATTATAAATTAAGAGCAATTCTGAAGAGTTAGCCTAAAGGAATTATAATTAAATGACCAATTTTTTTTACCTTGTCTTGGCAACAGAGCTTACTGTTCTCTTGAAGTTGCACTTTCTCTCGAAGTTGAAACTTAATTAGAATGACTCTTGAGTTAGCCAAAGGATATTACACATACCTTGATGCCTCACTAAAGCTTGTTTTTTTTCAAGGATGACCAACTATAATTGTTGTACATGATTTACTGCAAACTAAGGTTGTCATTTTATGTTACAAAATGAGAGAGACCTGATCAACCTTCATTGGCGATTTTATCATTGATTTATTGATTTCCGCAGTAATTTTGAAAAACGATCCAAATTTTTGAGATAACCTGACCAATCATAGAGACAATCGATCAATTGACGCGCTGACATTAGTGCCAGGTACTGTTCAAACAAAATTTGAGCCTAATTTGAATAGTACACTTGTAGGTACCGTAACATCGCGGTTTATAGTATTTTCCCTGTAGAATACTTACACGGACATTTTTAATGGTGCTTTGTTTGTCCTATTTAACAATTACCTTTTGAGAGGTTTTTTTAGGAATTAAAACCATAATAAAATGTATTTAGTATTAAATTTAATTAAATGAATTTTTATAATTTAAAATTTTTATTAAATGATCACGAGATTAATTTTATTTTATCAAATAATAAACTGATAACAATAACTAACAAAAACAACTAACTCTAGTTACTAAAACGTTTCCTTTTAAAAGTGAAAATAAATTATCAAAATGCTCGTTATGAAAATAGAATAGTTTTTCAATTCTAGTACATATACAGGGGGGTATAAAAAGTATTAACCATCCTTTTAAAAATGTATTACAAAATTACTAATATGTAAACTTTATTTTTTTTATTTTATCAAATTACAGGTCAATATTTCATTGGATCTTCATTCACTGTAAGAACAGCTTAAACTTGACATAATATAGATTTAATCAAATTATGATAATAATTTACAAGTATCACATCCCATTCCTCTTTAACTCACTGCTTTAATTATGCAATACTTAATGGTTGTGAATCACATTGACAAATTTTAACCTTAATATATGATCAAATATTTTCTATCAGGTTGATATCAGAGCTTTGAGCTGGTCAGAAAAGTACCTTAATATTTGAGAATTCAAGAAAGGAATACGTAACTTTTTCAGTGTAAACAGATGCATTATCCTCTTAAAAAATAAACTATTTTTGATTTTTTTCATAAGATTTAACTGTAGAAATTGTGAAATTAACCAAACTTCATAATGCATATTTGCAGTTAAAGGGATCAAATGATTCATACTGATATAAGAGAAACATCCTTAAAGCATACAACTAAAGCTTTTTTAGACCGTTATAATGTAGTCTTCATAAAATTCTTCAGAAGATTCACATTATACTCGTTCAAAACCTGAGATTTTGAATTGTGTGTAGGAGACTCATTTAACCAAACAATTTTTTAAAATTCTCTACTATCTAATTTTTATAAGTACAAGCTCAAAATAAACATTTAACTTTATTATTTTCAGAAATTAATAGACTGAAATGAGAAATGCATGAGTAAAGACCTTGTTCAGTTAATTCATTACAGATGGTTTATATAGAAATAGCTTTATTTATTTTATTCATAATATTTAAACGTATTTGAGAAAGAATTTTGTGATAGGATTTTTTATTTCTAATCATTATTTGCTTGAGTTATTTGCATTCAGACTCATTAAAAATTCATGATCGACTTGTTGTTTTTTTAGAAGTTTTTTTAGTTTATATGACCTTTACACATATTGTATAGAAGAAATAGAACAACTAATGATTGCAAAAATTTTGCTATTTGTATTACCTAACTTTTTTGTTATAATAATAGCCTCTTTTTGACTTTTACTAAATTTTTTCCTAAAATATATTTATAGTGGCAAAATTTTTTAAACTATAAAATAGAATTTTTTTTGTATGCCTATATGACCCATTTTATATCTTACAATGACGCTTTATTTATTTTGACTATTATATAACAATCATGATTAACTAAAAATAAAAAAATATAGGACTTAATTTGGAAGGTATGTGATAATATGTATTATACTCAGATTATATCATATGCTTAATACTTTTTATATCCTCCTATATATAAAATTTTAGATTAATGTGATTAAATATAAAAATTTAAAATTAAAAAATTATGATTATTATTATTTAAATGTAAAAATAAAAAATTCTCTAACTATTAAGTTTATAATCTAATAAACTATTTAAATCAAATTCTTATAAAAAAAAAAAAAGAAATATTAATAAATATTTTTGAAGAAATACACTTACCCTAAACTGTATTACCAATTTCTAATTCTAATTTCAGAAATCTTAAAGATTCACAGAAGCTGTTCTTATAAAAAAAAAGAAATATTAATGAATATTTCTAAAGAAATACACCCACCTCAAGTTGTATTATCAATTCCCAATTTTAATTTTAAAAGTCCCAAAGGTCCACAAAAGCTATTCTTATAAAAAAAAAGAAAAAGAAATGTTAATGAATATTTTTGAAAAAATACACTTATTTCAAGCTGTATTACTAATTCTCAATTCCAATTTCAGAAGCCTTAAAGGTTCACAAGAGCTATTTCTACAAAAAAAAGAAAAAGGAATATTAATTAACATTTCTAAAAAAACACATCCACCTTAAGCTATATTACTAATTTCTAATTTTAATTCTAGAAGTTTCAAAGATCTATATGAGCCATTCTTATAAAAAAAGAAAAAGAAACATTAATAAACTTTCCTAAAAAAACACATTCATCTTAAGCTATATTATTAATTCCTAATTCTAATTTCAAAAGTTTCAAAAAGTTCACAAGAGTTATTCCTATAAAAAAAAAAGGAATATTGATAAATGTTCTTGAAGAAATATACTCATCTCAAGTCATATTACCATTTTTAATTTCAATTCTAGAAACCTTAAAAGTCTATAAAAACTGTTTCTATAAAAAAATAAAAAAGGAATATTAATAAATGTTTTTAAAGAAATACACCTACTTCTGCAAAACTTACCTTTTCTATTTCAACTCATAATTTTAAGAGAGTCCAGTTTAAGAATGCTATTCCTAAAAAAGAAGAGGAAAAAAAGAAAGAAGAGAGAAAGAAGGAAAGTAAAAAAGTGAGAAAGTAAGAAAGTAGAAAAGTAAAAATACAAAAAAAAAATTAGAAAAAAACTTGATTAGCTCAATGTAGTTAATTATTTTAATTTTTATGCATATAATTAAAAGATAATAAATATAATATTTCATAATACACATATATCTCTGATTAATTTTTCTATAAATGTACTTTCTTTGTTTATTTCTAAAAGTGTGCATTTATAGAGAGTTAACTGTAATTTTATAGCTATTTTTGATTAAAAATAAAATACTATTATGTTAATCACTCAGCTTTTTATAAAATTTTAGCTCAAAACTCTTAAGGGGTATTTTACATAGGGGTAGTTTAGTCAATACTTTATAGTAATACAATCATATGATTATAATTGTGTTATAATTTTATTTTTTTTAAAATATGAGTTTTTTTAACTATTTAGCAATTTTTTAATCTGAACTGCTATAAAATAAAATTCAGATATGCAATAATTTTATTTAAAATGAATTTTTATTTCAAATTTTATTTAAATTGAATCATTAGTTACAAAGATATTAAAAGTTAAGTATTGATAATTTACTTATAAAAATTTATAGATGATAAAATTTTTATAAGTAAATTGCTGATACTTATCATAGAATACTAACTAAACCACTTCCTATATAAAATACCCTCTTAAGATTTTGAGCTAAAATTTTATAAAAAACTCAGATAGTTTACATATGTTGTTTTATTTCTAATCAGAAATAACTATAAAACTATATAAATCATGTGATTAATATATTGTTATGATATTAATTTATCAAATATAAAATTTTATTTAGACTTTATTATTTATTTAAACATTAGCAAAATTAATTTCATTTCAATTATTATAACCCTCCTCTTGAAATTCATTATCTTCAATTAATTCATTATTTTCTTTATCTATTATAAGACTATTATAATCAAAATCATGTTATCTTCAAAACTATTAGTTTTAACTAAAATATTATAATACTTAAATAATCTATAAATTAACTTGTATTAATTTTTTTTCATGCATCTTTTACTTATAAATATACCAAAAAATATAAATGTTTTTTAATGTATTTAGATAAAGTTAACTTATAAATTTTATTTGTCATCCACTTATTATAAAATTCACGAAACTATTAAATTAAATATCTTTTTAATTTATATAATAATATATATAAAAATAAATAAAAATTAATTAATAATATTTATATTAGATTTAAAGCTTTTATTAATTAATACATTAAGAGATTGTAACTTAGATGTTAACCTACTAGGGATTACTATTATATTAGTTACTTTTTATGTAATTTTTGTTTAATAAAGTTAACTAAATGATCGTTATAATATAAATTTAAAAATATTTAGCATTGATTATAATATTAAAGTTTCTTCAGAAATTATTTGTCAAGTGTTTAAGAAGAATAGCTTAAAGTCAGTTACAAAAATTAAAATCTTTTATTATTATAATGTCATAAAAAAGCTTGATACAAATTTACTAAAAAATATAAATATTGAAATTTTAAGGATTGAAAAAAATAATATGATCTAATGAAAGTAAATTTAATATAATTAGATTAGATAGTCATCAATATTATTGAAAGAGAAGTAGAAAAAGTTTAAAAAATAATTATATTAAGAATACAGTAAAGTTTAGTGGTAGTAGTATTTTCGTATAAAGTTATTTTATAGCTCAAGTAATAGGATATTTATATCATATCAATAGTAGGTTAGATATAAAATTATATATTCAAATTTTAAAAGATGATTTTCTTCAAATACTTAATTATTATAATATAGATTTAATAACATTATCTTTCAGCAAAGTAATGATCCTAAATATACAGTAAAAATAACAAAAAAATGGTTTGCAAATAATAATATAGCTGTTCTTGAATAGCTAGCTTAATCCCCAGACCTTAATCCTATTAAAAATATATGAAGTGAAGTTAATTAACATTTACAAAACAGTCATAAATATATAAAAAATAAAGATAATTTTTGAAATAAATTTCAAATAATATTGAACTTAAAATTTATACTAAAATAATTAAAACTATATTAAAACAAATCAATAATTTATTTTCATAAAAAGGTGAATATATAAGATAATAAATAATAAATATAAAAATATTTTTATTATTTAATTTTTTATATTTATAAAAATGTATAGTTGGATTTAATTGGATTTTATTAAATTTTTATCAGATTTTATCAAATTTTAATATAAAAAAATTGTATTAGAAATTAACTAATATCAAAAAAATAAAATAAAATAAAAAAAATTACTTATTTTTTATTTTTAATAAATAAAAAGTGTTATTCAATAAAAAAAAATTAAAATAAATTATTAAATAAAATTGTTTAATTTATAAATAATTAATAATAATATTTAATATTTAATTAAAATAATAATATTTATCATCATTATATATACTGCCTTACAATAAATTACTAGATTTTATAAATTTTATTTAGTAATTTATAGTAAAATTAAAGATTTTTAAGTTGCATAAATGTTTACTAATTTTCAATAAAAATTATCTGATTTTTTTTTATTTGATAGCTGATCAATTATAGTTTATAGATATTAAAATAAAAAAAGAAAATTTTTAAAACATAAAAAACTTTTTTCATTTTAAAGTATAAGCAATTATTTTTTTATATGTTTTTTGCATTTTAATATATAAAATTATTTTATTTATTATTTTACAAATGAGTATTTTTTCACATTTTATAAATAAAATATTTTTGAATTATATTTTTAAAATTATAATTGATTGGTTATTAAATAAAAAAATCTAATGTGTATTTTATTAAAAAATTCATAAACTTTTATATAATCTGAAAATCTTCAATTTTACTATATATTACTAAGTAAAATTTATAAAATCTGATAATTTATTGTAGGGTAATGTACTAACTTTATTCAAATTTTTTTAAAGAATAACTTTGATTCATAGCTTTAAAAATATATATATTATTATATAATATGATTATGTGATATAAAATAATTTACAAAACTTTATATTACTGTTTTACATTTCTTTTGTAAGCCACTGTATATTTTATTTTTATTTTAATATTACTTTCTATATTTACTAGCTTTTCTGAATAATTTTTATAATTCTATGATCTCACCAAAGATGTCTTTAAACAGTAGTAGTTGAAGTATCTTTTGTTCACTTATAACATTTTATAATACTTTTATTTTTTATACACTTGATAAATAAGATATAACTGATTTTCTCTTTAACATACTTCTCAAAATAATAGTTCTAAATAATATTTGAGTTTTCTCTTCTATATTTATTATTAGTTTTATTCATTTTTTGAAATGAAAATTGAACAAAAAATAAAATAATATATTAATAAATTGATTTATTTTACATTATATTATGATTCACAAATTTTAACATTAAATATATTATAATATACTTTTTTATTTTAAATAAATATTTAAATTTAAAAATTAAACCTTTAAATTAATTTTGTATATAGACCAGTTTAAATTATAAACTGATTTGAATTTTAAAACTGATTTTATATTGAAAACCAATTATCAGATTTTTAAAATTTTTTTAAAACTGATTACTAAATAAATAGATTAAAATTGAAAACTGAAAACTGGTTTTAAAGCATTATTTATATTTCTATATTTATTTATTTTTATTTTTAAAATTTTTATTTAATTAATTTTTAGTTAAATATATTATAAAATTTATTATAAAATAATTCAATTTTAATATTTTTTTTTTTTTATAAATATATAATATTCAATAATATAAAAAAAAAGTAAAAATATTAAATTTTAGGTTTTATAAAGTATTTTTATCAAAAATATTAAAAATTTTTTAAACTTAATTATATACATATTAATTTGTATTTTTTTATATTTTATTATAAAAATTATTTAAATTATTTTTTTAATAAATAATTAACTTTAATTAATAAAGAATTTGTAAGAAAATTTATGTTAAAAAAAATATAATTTTAGTTAATATTAATAAAAAAATTTTTCTTATAATTATTTATTTTCTTTGATTATATATATTTTAAACTACTTTTGATTTTTTTTTTTTTTATAATAAGCTTATTAGTTTGTTGAAAGAAATAAAATAATTTTAAACAATTTTTTTAGTTAAAAACAAATAAAAAACATAAAATGTATGTAAACATCTAATTAAAATTTATATTCTTCAAGTATTTTAAAAATTTATTTAAATGATTTAAATAATAAATCAATAAATATTAATATTCTTTATAATGAATTCAGCATCTTTACTGTCGATCCTATATATTTACCATTAAAAAATGAACTGATTATAAAAATACTATATGATGTGACTAAGAGGTTTTTTTTAATAAGTTTATTAGTAACTTGGGCCAATGTAAGTGTGCTTATAAAGGGAGATGTGACTATATATGGGTGACTATAGAGAGGGTCGACGGTATTTTGTAATAAACATTTAGTATAATTTATGTTAATTAATTATTATATTATACTAAATTTTGAATAATAAAATTCAATCGTATACAATTATAACAGTTGCAAATTCACATTTAATTATAAATAAAATAAAATTTAAATTTATTATTTTATGATATATTAAGAATTTTCTTAAATTTTATGATACAAATAAGAAACATTCACATGAAGTTTTCTTTTAAGTTTCTTATTACAAAACAATCGTTGTATTTTGAAAAGGAATCTTCCAATTAAACCGTATTGGCGCATCTCTACATTAGTACGATGTATTACAGGGCAAATTTTGCGGCATGAACGTTTCATCACTGGTAGTACGAATTATCATTTAAAATTTATAAGCAATATCACACACCTGATGCGAAAGCATGATAATTATCTCATAATCATTAATCATATGCAATAGTTTTTTTTTACAATAGTATTATAAAGACAATAATAAAAACTGCTATTTTATTCTATAAATTCTATAAATACGCCCCCATGCTTTGAAATGAATCTTGCAATTAATTAAAAAAAAAAATATCGCATATACTGTACATAATTATTCAAAATATCTAAAATAATTATCGATCAAAAAATATTATCGTTCTAAAATAAGAATGACACATCGGGAAAATAACGTTATATGGTGATGTGGCTTTAAAAGTTACATTATGCACAACATCATTCAAAAGTATTTTTAGCATTGTGTGACAAAGCATCAAAAAAAAAAGAAATATTAAAAAGAGGTGGGAGCGAGCCAACCAGAATACATAAGATTCCTTTTCGGGTCATTATTTTAAATTAAATGATTAAAAAAAGTCTAATAGTCTTAAAAAGTAAATCCTTTTAATTACAAAAGAACTTATTAATATTTTATAAATATTTAACGAGATGCATTTAACCAGGAGAAATTTTACAACGTTTTTTTTTTTATATCATTTGTTGTAACATATTTGTTTGTAGAGTAAATCTTTCTATGTTTAGGATATAAAAGATAACTAACTTTGTTTTGATGTATGTAACAATTCTCCTTTGTATCATCTTAATTTTCCAATATAAATAAGCCGAAAACTTTTTTTAATTCTGAAATAATTCACAAAAATTTTCATCATGCCTTATATACCTTACGTTGTTCCTAAGTATAAGTACTCTCTAATATTTATTCTAGTACTTGCGATATTTATTGCTGTCAATTTTGCCTCTCCAACTTATGAATTAAATAGTCAAATTGGTACTCTTCGGAAAAGACAAGGTGATGGCGGAAAAGGAGGTGGAGGAGGTGGTGGTGGTGGACCACCAAAAGAAGAACCAAAAAACGATCAACCGAAAAATGATCAACCAAAAGAGGAACCAAAAAATGATCAACCAAAAGAGGAACCAAAAAATGATCAACCAAAAGAGGAACCAAAAAACGATCAACCAAAAGAGGAACCGAAAAATGATCAACCAAAGGAGGAACCAAAAAATGATCAACCAAAAGAAGAACCGAAAAAAGATGCGCCAAATAACGGTGATGGACAACCACCAAACAATGGAAATGGACAACCACCAAATAACGGAGATGGACAACCGCCAAACAATGGAAATGGACAACCTCCAAACAACGGAGATGGACAACCGCCAAACAATGGAAATGGA